TGAACATTTAGTGCGGAGCTGAACCCCCCTGAGCTACTGATGAACAGGTTCATTATTCAGAAGTAGCTTCATACTTTGTGGAATGTCCTCAGCTCTGTAGATTTTCAGAAGGAAGGTGACCCATCTCAGTGCTACACCAGGAGGAAGGAGGAGATTACTTTCTATATCATCAGCGTCACTTTCCTTGTCTCTCTTTTCAACCTGAAAATAAGCAAGCATTACATGCTATTAATGGCTAGGTCGTCAAGCTATTAAAGAGCCAGTCCAGGAAACAAATGACACCAATCAGTAAAGTTAGCAATGTTCAATATAACAATATTCAGCTCCTTTAAATCTGAGTCCTATGCAATTTATAGGATCCCTGAGTGTCCCTTTGAGTATACCTCCTGAAGTGCCTAGTCTAACTTTTCCCTCTGCTTCCCCTTACACCAACCACATTAAAGCTTAAACGAAGAGTTGTAACCTGCTTGGTGGCCGAGATAATCATTTTATTACTAGAGTGTTGTTTTTATATAGGGCTTTCTCCAGGTGAGAAACCGCAAGGAGCCTGCAATCAGTGTTTTTACTAAAAGCTTTGTATATGTAAGAGAGCAACAAAAAACCTGCAAAGGTTGTTTAGATAATTATTTTCCTGCATCACAAGCAGGGGTTGCTTGTGCTCCACCCACTGCCCTGAAATCATTAGTCTGTATTGTTTTAGATAAACTGTCACATGACAACAAAAATGTATCAATACTTGTATCTGTGAGTACTTGGGCAAGTATCAGTACTTGTACCGAGTACGGTACATGGTATCGGTGCATCCCTAGTTTTAATGGTGTTCTAGGTTGATAAGAGCTCAGGCAGATAACTATAGCATTTGTGCTACATAGTGTTAGAGCAAACAAATAACTACACCATGGTATTCATATATAATTATGTACAGCAGAACTCACAGGAGGCTCATCACCAGTGCCGATGACAAACATGCTGACTTTAAGATATCCCTTTGCCCCAGAGCTCATGTCTTCAGGATCATGGAGAAGAACCCACTTCCTCATGACTGCATGACCTAAGTAAAGAAAAAAAAAAAAAAAACACATTAAATGGTTGTCTGTCCTCAAATCACTTAAAAGGAACAAGTAACATAACATAGCAAGCAACCTAATAGGCAATCTGAGTTATAGGGATCATTACCAGATATATCTGGCACAAATAACTTTTAGTCTCGGCACTATGTATTCTGAGCAACCGAATGAGCCCATGAAAGCTGCAGCTCTTGTTTCAAGCCATGCCCAGGCTGCAAGTGGTTAACTTGAAATCTTAAATTTTTTATATTTCATACTGCTCAGATTACAAAAACAATTTACATAGTTAAGAAAAAAATATGTAGAAAAAAAAAAACAGGATACAATCACTTTAAAAGGCAATGAAATACACTTAATTTTGCGACAAAAAAAATAAAACAAACATTTACTTACTTGGTTCATCATATATAAACCCAATGTCAAGCTATAATTGTAAAAGAAACAGAATTTATTATGCAATCTTGTAAGACACAAATTAGCAATACATTTATACAGTTAGTAACGAAGGCACAAAGATCACGCTGGTCGAAGTATCCGAGACTTATAAGATGTCGGGGCTTACTTGGCGCAATAGTCTCTAACAAAAACTATCACTTAAAGGTTGTCTGACCCTTTAACACACTTAGCATGATAGCAATAAAGCCGTGGTTTGTGGTGACTGTAGCTTTAGAGGGACCACCATAATTATAAGAAAATATTATTGCGTCTGTGGATAGAGTTCAGTCAGAAACCCCAAACACCAGGCAGCCAGTCCACCAATGAAGGGTAAGGTTCCAAGGTTTCCCCTGCAGATTAGGAGCATAGTTTTGTACAGTTTTATTTGCCACAAAAAAGGTTGGCATCAAATTCGCAGGCAAATTCAATTCTTTTTTCAGATCTCATGTAAAAGAAACTCATAGTATGTATAATGGTTACGTTCTGATTTGGGGTTAATGGGTTCAGATAAATGGTTCAATTAGAATAATTTTCTCATTTTCGGTTGTCAGTTTTTACAAAAAAAGCTTAAAAAAAACAAAATAAAAAACTGTTCTGAAACATTTTGGAACCCTAAAAAAAATTGTAACAAACCATAATTACTCCAGTTTTAGTTTAGCAAATACTATTCTTTTTTTATACAAAGCAAAAAAACTGAGAAGAGGGCTACTCATTATTTCAGCACACCTATGCAATCTCTGTCCCCTCCAATCCAGACTTTTTCTTAAGAAATTTTTTTTTTTATTGGATTAAAAGATTTTTTTCACAGACATTCACAGCAAATTAACAGGAAAAACAAAAAGGTAACACGGTATAACCAGATCAACCATATGTGGCCAAGCCTATTGTGCATTATAAGCAACCTGGCTTTTTTTACCTTGAATTCTCCTATTAAACTGTCAGCTCGAATAGACCCAGAGTTATACAACTGTGGGAGAAAAAAAAAAAGATAGCACATGTTTTACACTGGTTTATAAATGATGTGGCTACATACAGACTGACAGACAATCCTTTTCTGGCTAAGACAAAAGACCAGCTATTACAAAAGATTATTATAACATGCACAACTATAAGCATTTTAGGTTTCAAATTATAAAAGTATAATAGAAATGCACATTAAAAGAATTTGGGTCCTCAATAAAATTTTGAACTGACTTAGAAATAAGGCAATAGTATGAGGAAGGCTCATTATGAATTTAAAGTTCCATTATGCTTTGTCCGTTTTATGGCATTGGTAAGCTGCATCTACCACTAACTTTGGCAAAACCCCTCAAACATGGTAATTAGTATAGATATATAAAAAAATCTTTATTAAAAAAATGCCCAACAGAACTATTGGGTCTACATCAAAGTGATCCTGTACTGCATATTTAACTTCTAAAAGTCTTGCCTAAGAGGAGAATCCATGTTTGCCGCTTATTAAAGTGCAACTCCAAAAGAAAAAAAAAAAAATGTTTTCCGGCCATTTGCAATGAACTAATATCTTACGACTAATAATGGGAGTTCCATCTTTTGATGGCTACTGCATTAGATAAAGCAATTATTTTTATGTACAGCTGACCTGTCTGAAAGTTAAAATCTCTAGCACAGAGAAGATAATGGGTTGCTCGCTCCCTACTTTGGCTGTTCACAAAAAGGTCTTCTGTTTTTTACATAGAATACAAGGTGTTCTGTGAATGGACAAGGCAGTTCACATAGCGAGAGAAACCCCCACCCTCCACAGGATTTGGGGTGCTTAAAAATGATTGTTTTAACTACTGCAGCAGCCAGCCACAGCTGGGACATCCACCATTAGTGGTAATTAGTAAATGGCAAATGCAAACATTTTCCTGGAGTTTCAATTCTGTTAGCTCCAAAAGTCTCTTGTGTGCCACTCACTACTAGGGCTTGACTTTTTCTGATATCAAATGCCATTCCACTGTCCAATCAGACTGCCTTAGCGGCCAGTAAAGACACTTATTTAACGGGGAGCTAATGGATTTTAGCCATAAATTCAGGAAATATCAGGCTAATAACAAATTGAAACTAAATCAGATTGGGGTACAAAAGAGACTTTACTGGATGATAAAGGCAATAGCAGGCGTACTGTGGTGTGTGAACGTAAGCAGGACTTTGATTTTCAAACGGTTTTTGGATAAATGCTCACTTTACTCGAACGGACTGACAGACAATAGAGTATAAGGAGGTTTGACATGGTTTCATGCAGTGTATGCCACTAACGTCAGTAAAAGTCCCTGGAAAGAATAAAGCCACTGCTACAAATTTCCTGATCTACTATACGCCAGGCAGAATGTCACTTTAATATGGTAATATGTTCCTTACACGGAGAACTACGGAATCATCAAACAGTTCAGATGGTGCCATATTCACGTTGTAGAAAAAGAGCTATTGGATTAAAAATAGAAAAAAAAAAACATGTTACAAAAAGGGATAACACAAAATGGGGCATAAATCACAAGTTCCAACATATTTAAAAATACATTAAAAAGATAATTCTTGCTTTTGTTCTTAGAGCATCTAAAAAAGAGATATGTTGGAAAAAAATAAAAAAATAAAAAAAAAGTTATGCTTTTGAAGTGAAGCTATGATTGGCCCATACAGGACCAAGCAACAGGTTCACTTTAATGGCTGCCCGAGCAGCAAATACTTACCTTCCTTTCAGTCCCTCGCCGCTTCACCTGCCCAGGAATGGTGGTATACTAGGTACTTCCATGTACCAGCATGTGACTCGCTCACCTCCTTCCATAGTGACAACATTGGCACTTGGCTGCCAAGACTAGGGTTGCCACCTGTCCAGGATTCACCCGGACAGTTCGGGTTTTGGATGCTGTGTCCGGGTTTCATGGCAGCAGAAACCCGGACACAAGATGTCAGGCAGACAGGGGCAACCAAAATTAAGATAGAGGCTACCGGCCCTTCACTGTACAGTCTCGACTGTGATATTTACCTATGGGTGGCGCTATTTACATATGAATCCACGACTCCAAAAAAATGTCTGCTCGTCGCTCGAGTGTTCGGGTTTTGCTTGAAGAAAAGGTGGCAACCCTAGCTCAGACACTTGGCACAGTTAGATGGGAGTGCGGAAAGAGTTCTTAGCCCTATGTAAGCTCTATGTCGCTACAAAAGGCTTCAGCTCTTTACTCACGTGGGTGAACAGAGGGTAAAACAATAAAGGGGCAACTTATGGGGCCAGCATTAAAAAACTGAACCTGCTGCTTTGACCAGCACAGGAAAAAAAAAAAAAAACCACACAGGTTTACTTTAAAAAGAACCTTCCTTTACAGGAAGGGTTTTAGCTTCCATCTTTTATTTGAATGGCTTAAAATTTGACACATCTTATGTGACTGTATATATTTAAAGCTTGGCTTTAAAAACATAAGATGTTACCAACACAATCATTTCAAAACAAATTCCATTACAAATCAGTAGTCTCACCAACATGCCACTAAGAGGCATAGCTTACATACAGATAGTGGAGTTCATAACTGAAATCTAACTGAAATGCAGGAGGTCAATCAGGCAGGCACCTCATCAAAATATGGGTTGTTCCCTCTTTTGATTCTTGTCCTGTGGGTCTGTCCACCGACGCTGGCTTTCACAACCGGTTTTATGTTGTTACCAGACAGTTGACGACCTTCAATCACCCGAACACGGATCTGTGATGAAAAAAAACATGAACTCTATTGCTGAATCTTTCTGTAGGTGCTAAAAATAAATCTTATAATAGAAGATACCATCGCTCTAGTCACCTTCAAAACAATAAAAGTATTTAAAAAAAAACAAACAAACTTTGGCTTGGAAATTTTAAAATACAGTATTGCAAATAATGGTTATTTCTCCATTTGTTTCCCCAAATAGTCCACTATAAGATGCTACAAATATACAAATTGAGCACCGTCCTAGGCAATGCAGCTGAAAGCATTATATTCTTTTTTTCTAATTTGTCATCCCTAAATATTGGTAAATTAAAAAAAAAAAGTGGTTACAATTTGCTTTAAAAACAAAAAACAAAATCATACAAGTCAAGCATTCAAAAGGGAAAAAAAATCCAATTTATAAAGCAGCAGTATGGCCCAACAATGGCCAAAAAAAATGTTGGCGCATTTATAAAGCACAGCACCATGCTTTAGACTGTACTTGCTTCATCAAGCAAGCAACCAAAGCCTCATTGATTCTAATGAATTGGGGGGGAAATGACTATTCTAAGAGTAGGAGGAAAGCCATCACAAGACAAGACTCTTTTCCGAGGTTGTTCACTGCAGGGAGATGCTGTAAACACACCCTTTGACAGCTCTAAATGGATTTAAAAAAAAACCTGCAAGTTTTCCTTTTTATAGACCAACTATTTACAGCAAAAAACTTTTGATTGCATTAAGTGGAAGGAAAACAAACGTGTGCTAGGGTTAACAATACACTTACGATGTAGTTTGGATACTTAGAGAACTATGGGGTCAGTGTTTTTCCCCATAGTTCTCCTTGGGGTAACGGGAGGACATAAACTAGCGTCCTCCCGTTACCCTAAAGCTCAGTATACCGCAAGCTACAGCTCGCGGTATACTGAGACGCCGCAGCGGATCCCGACATGGACGTCGGGATCCGCCCAGCTGCGTGAGTGACAGCTGGCTCTGCCTACCTAGAGGCAGAGCCAGCTGTACCCACCCCCTGCCCCGTCCGTTCTGCCAGTCAGCGCTGGCAGATCGGAGCAGGGAGAGGGGAATCCAGCCCCTGTCATGGCAGAGAGCCGTGACAGGATCGAGGGGAGAGAGTCTCATTGTCACAGGTCGGCTAGAACTATGAGGTGAGTGGAAACCACCCATCTCATAGTTCGCCTTTAAAATGACAAGAATTGTCCCAAAATGTCAGAGCAATCTTAGACTTACATCACACTGGCTATTATTTCATTGGGGACACTCCACCAGTGGCAGAATTACCACGCCTTTAGCAAAAGAAACCTAAGCAAGACTGGCACCACTCAGTCCACAAAAGTGCTGTGTGTTATCAGCCCACAACAGTATTTAGGAGCGGAGTGCATTTAAGGCGGAACAACAAGTATTTTTCTGAACATGCAGGGCCTTTTAAGAGTAAAACATGGGAAGCGTGCATGTATTGTAGAGATGTACTTCATACATTTTTTTTTTTTCCCCTGACAGACTTTGTCACATCAGCCTTCACCCAAAACTAACAGAACAACTTGGTAGAAGGATATAAAGTTCACAGCTGTGTTTTTAAATTTTGCTTACAGTAAATTGACCTTATAATTGTGATGCATTAGGTCTACTTCAAACTGTATGGGTGAAAGATGGGTATAAAAATGAGTAAAGGGCTGCATCATCCACACCCATCATCATTACTACTACTCTTTCTAAGCTGAACAATCTGCTGAATGACACCGCTTTAAAGTTTGAGTTAAAAAAAAAAACATATGGAGAATGTAGGCTTTGTAGAAGGTAGACCTTTTAGTTTTCTCACCAAAGTAGACATCGTATATATTTCCCAAATGGATTTACCTGGAAGTCTTGAGGTTTGTTTGAAAGAAGCCTCCTAGTCTTCTTTCCTTTGGTGAGACGTCGAGCAATTTGGTTTTCTGCCTGACCAGGAACACCTGGCATAGATGGGTTAAATCCTGAGTCGACAACATCTCCATCCTCCTCGTCTTCATTATCTGAATAAGAAAGGATTCAAAGTGTCATTAGTGTAAATATAGGTTTTAGAGGATGTGCAGGCACTATCTGACCACACTCACGGCAGAAAAGGTGTCAGAGTGCTGCAGAATGCCAAAAAAAAAACATAGAACTCAACTCTTCCAACCTTAGAAGTGCTCTGTGGTAAGCTTGTACCTGGCAAAGATTACCAAAAACATACATAGCTAATAGCAGTCCGTTATATACAATTGGACTTGTTCTGTAATGTTGAAGCAGTTTTGCCACTCATTCAAGTAGATTGCTCAACCTCATAGTGAGAAAGCTACTTTAACATTAAAGAACAAGTCCAGCTGAACGAGACCAGCTACTACTAGATACACCATGGACCTGAATAATTGAGAACGTTCAAAAAGACAAGCATACTTATGTGGGAGCAGGTCAAAAGACAGGCCTCTGGGCATTGGGATGTTGCCTTTACATCAGACCACCTTTGTATACCTATGTCCTAATGGCCATCATAAAAAGCTAATGAGGCTCATCAGTTCATTATGATTGTTAACTTTGCTAATTTATAATGGCCTGAGGGATATTAAGAGAATGAAGTTAGATGCAAAGGATTCTGTAATAAGCTCCTTCATTTACTTAAGGCTTAACACTGGAAAAAAAACTCCTACAGCTTTTGTAAAAATAAGAAGTGTTTGAGCAAGAAAATTATCATCTGCTGTCTAGGGCTGTGTGTATGTGAAAGCTATTTATACATAACCATTTATGGAGATCAAAAGAAAAGCGACAGTGTATGGTTATGGTCACATTTTCCAACTACTCCCACACTTGCACGGTTAACAGAAGTGATCAGTGATGCACCACGTGTGGATCCAACTAGAACAGGTTCAGAAAACTATAAACAAAGGTTTTGTTTCGCCTTAAACAAGCTCTATAGCCTCTGCTCAGCAAACACGACTAAAAGGTTACAAAGAATAAAAGTAAAGCACTGGATGAGTTAATATATGACGTAGGTGCTAACCATACTAAATAACTGGAGACACTCCTCTCCTCAGAGCAGAAATTCAGTTGAAATGGCAAGCTGCTTTCCATGGATGCCTTGCAGCACATGTCCCTGACCTAGAATTCTCCTCAGTGGTCCTTCAGTAATCTTTGTCAGCAACCTGCCAAATTCAAAAAGCTTATGCTCGAATGTCATTTTACAGTATGGTCTGGCATCCGAGTTGTGACTCTTAAGTAATACAGACAGTTCTAATGTGTGATTAGAATAGTGGCTCCCAGCTTCTGTCTCCCGTGCCAATAGGACATGCCTTTCGGGTCTCTTTACAGAATCACATGTGAAATCATTAGCATGGTTACTCATTCGACTGGATTGACCAAAAAATGTATTATTGGCTACGACTGTGCAGGTGTAAAAAAATAAAACAAAAAAATAATATAGTAAACATGCATTTCAGACAGGATTATACAGCAAGGTAGTGCAAGGCCTCAGGCACACTGGCACGGTTTCATCTTGGCTTGTGAACACTAGCCAGAATAACTCCGGTTGAGGAAGGATTTAACAAGTTTCCAGAAGCTTTCTTGGAGCCTTTAAAATCACTTTCAGTAGGGATGAGGTTCACATTTGCCCAAAAGGTAAATGGTCAGTGGATTTACTGGATTTCAAATTAGGACTAATCATCCAGGTGCATTTTTCAACCAACCACCCTCAAACCCTAGCCACTCAGAACCAATATTGATGGGAGAGTGGACAACTCAGCCTTCTCACTATAACAAGGGGTGGCCAAGAGCAGTCATAGCGTTAGTGAATTGAAGGTGCTGTAGAGCCTCGGTTCTCAACTGGTGGGTCGGGACCCAAAAGTGGGTCGCGACCCCATGTTCAGTGGGTCACGGCCTGCCTTCCACTTTTCTAGGTAAGAGGCTCAGCCTCCCCAATCGCGCAGCACTGTCAGTTCTTACGCTGAGCAGCCATTCAAAATATGCTGCCCAGCGCCAACTTGAGGTGGGGTGCACTGGGGGTATGGCTGCAAGGGAGCTCCATCCATACATGCATTGCTTATAGCTCCCTCGCATGTCCTGTAGCAATGCCTGGACTGGAGTGATGTCACATTCTGGCTCCCGGCGCCTCTACAGGTGCACATGGGAACTGTACAAGCAATGCACATATGGATGGAGCTCTGTCACAGCACAGCAGCCCACACTGCCGTGCGTTCCATTGCAATGCAACTTGGGTCGCGACTAAATGCCCGAGGACAAATGTGGGTCTTGAGGTTAAACAGGTTGAGAACCACTGCTGTAGAGGGAGCTGCCAAAATGCAAAAGTGAGAGATTAGGGTCCGTTAGCAAACTGCTTTACAACTGTGAATAGCGGTGGTAGGGTCCCACAGTTTCAATATCTCTGATAAAAGGAGATCTACAATCTGACCATGAGACAATACAGTTCTTACAGCACACCCAACAACAAATGGTGAGCCATCTGTCTGTAATCACAGTGGCACAAGCGCTAAAACGTACCACAATGAAAAGAGTAAAGGGTCTGGAGGGACTGGAAGGGTGGAAAACCTCTGTGCAATAACTAGTGTTTTCAAATGCTTTAAGTATAAAGTGGTCATCTCCCCCATACTCTGAAGAAACCGCTTTATAAATCCCAAGCAATGTTCAAAAGCAGAAGATTGAATTCTTGTATTAAGGTGTCCATGGCCAGGCTTTTTTCAGATGCTTTGATTACCAAAACTGCTCAGGACCCATTATCAAGTTAAAAGCTTTTATATTGTCTAAAACGATGACCCAGCTATCCTTTTTCATTTTCCCAGAATAAGTTATAAAGTTAGTACAACCAAAAATGATATTGTAGCCCCTGGCTGCTTGAAAAATGTCCTAGCAGTATGAATGTACATTATAGAGTGCAGAGATCAGCAGTCTAGTGAATGTAATGTACAAAAACTATTGTGGTAGCCAGTGCGGAAGAATGCATCTGTAGTGACCGCTAATGTAGTTGTGCATGAAAGTGTACCCAATGCGGTAGTGCATGTCAATGGAGTGGTGCCCAAAAGTGTAGAGCGCACCGAATGCAGTAGTCTGCCCTGGTGCAGTGGTGGGTAGTGCATATCTGTGCACTAGTGGCCAGCATGGTAATTAGTTTTAGTGCAGTGGGGGCCAGGGAGACAGTGCATGTGCACTACTGCTGGTGAATGGCGAAGTGCATGTGCATCAGTTTTGACTCCTCTGCTGGGCTACATCAGCCCTGTGTCTTCCATAGGTGGTCATGACAAGCACTGTCAGGCAGATTAATCTAACTACACACTGCCAGTGCAGACACGCAATGTTGATGTTTTTGCACCAGTAGTGCCATCCGCCTTTATATTGCCAAGTGGCTCTTGGCTGCTATAGATGGGGGAGAAACATCCCACGGTGCACTGTACTGAAAGCCCACAGAAAGGGAGAGTGGTGACAGTACTTGCTGGTACTTCCAAGGTTAGATCTTTAAATTAGTATAGGCTATCCAACAGAGAAGATGGGGCACCCTCATAATGCCCTCAGCATGTGTGCAGATCCTAGAACAAATGCCTCACTAGAGAGTCGTCATAATTGGTTTAACTCATCGGGATTTACCAAAAATCTGAAATAGCCAGTTTAGATGGAAAGACTTTTAAACAAATCAAAGGGTGAATTTGGTTAGTTGAAAGCGGGTGGCATTTTCTGAAAGAAAGACAAAGTATTAAAGAAAACTGAAAATCATCATCTACATCATTAGATGCAGTAATGAACAGGAAACGAGTCTTAAATTCGTAATTTCTGAAGTATTTCCCTTTTGTAGGTTATGGGATAACTTTACAATGGCAGGAAAGGGTTTCTAGGAGGCTTGATTCATCCCTCATCAAAAACACATCTTAATGAAGGAGCAGAGGTCACAGACTTCATGCTGGAGCATTGTTATCACAATGGAAAACACCAAGCCAGTTTCCTGCCTGTGAATAAACCTCTCTCACCACCTGCTATCTGATGAACACTTACACTGTATATAAAAAGACTGTTGGAATAAAACAACACAAAAGTGTTCTAGGTCAACAATTTGTTGCTGAACTGGTGTAACAGCGATGTCAAACGGTGTATAATATATATATCCCCCATCGACGCAAACCATATTATGTTGCCAAATCACCTTCAACCACATTTATAACTCAGCCTTTTTATAGTTTATGAATTACAGACCAGGTTCTCGGTGTAAACCTTACAAGCCGTTCACACTAGTTGCGCAATAGTTCAACGCCAGTCACCGCAAGGGCAGCTGCAAGAGTAACCAGTGCCTTAAGTTGTAACAGTACAAGGCACCGCTATACACGGCTGCCATCAAGCGGAAACAATCTGCACGCTAAAAAACAGAACCTCAAATATTCTGAGATACAAGTCAAATATGTAAAAAACCCCTGCTGAACTATGATTAAATTATATGGACTTATATGGATTGCAGAGGACGTTAGGGGTTGTAACCCATATACCAAGAGTGTGTATGTTTTTGTTAATGGAGGCTAAGTTTTAATAAATAAATTCTGTAATAACTTCTAAGGTTTACACTGCGTGCTTGGCCTGTAATTTATAAGCTATATAAAAGACTGAGTAATAAATATGGGGTGGAATGAGATCTAAAGACATATGGTTGAAAATGGTGTGATATTTGAGGTTCAAGAACCTAGTCTGCACTTGCAATCATCCCCATTCACAGTGAATTCCCATAGCAGGACTATATATAGTTAAGGAAAACAGAGCACATTACAATTTTCTTATAAGGAAAAAAATCTACCCAAAGTCTGTCAGTTTTAGGAGGCATGTCAGGGGCAGTACTACACCAAGTGAAGTCTCATTCCATCTTCTGTATTCCGTATAAAATAATAAGTCCAAAGGCTAGAATGAGTAGCCTCATGAAGGTCTTCATAGTGGCACCTTTTCAGACTGGGCTGGTGTAATAAGCGGTGTGCCTCAGGGCTCTGTGCTGGGACCCATATTGTTTAACCTGTTTATTAATATCGGGGAGGGTGTGAATAGCCATATTTCAGTGTTTGCAGATGATACAAAAATACGGAGGGTACTAGAAACAGACCTAGACAGTTAAGCATTACAGGAGGACCTGGATAAAATAGGGGAGTGGACGAATATATGGCAGATGAGGTTTAACCTCCCTGGCGGTAATCCCGAGTCTGGCTCGGGGTGAATTTTCAATGCTAGGAGCAAAGACTTGGGGGTCATTGTAGAGCACAAACTAAATGGTAGTTTGCAGTGCCAGGCTGCTGTAAACAAAGCAAGTAGGGGCTTGTCCTGTATTAAGAAGGGGATGTACTACAGAGCACGTCTATAGTTAAGCCACTTTATAGAGCATTGGTTCGGCCTCATCTGGAGTACGTGGTCCAGTTCTGGTCACCAGTATTAAGAAAAGATGTCCTTGATCTGGAGAGGGTCCAGCGGAGGGAAACTAAACTAATTAGGGGAATGGAGGACCAGAGCTAAGAGACAAGGCTCATAAATTTAAACATGTTCACGTTGGAAGGAGATTAAGGGGGAATATGATTTTCACGTACAAGATGTTCAATGGTGGTAGCAACATTGGCAACAAACTCTAAGATTAACTCCATTACAAAAACTAGAGGCCACCACCTAAAATTGGTGGAAAACAAATTCCAGCACAAGGGACGAAGGGGGTTCTTCACGGTAAGAGCGGTTAGGGCCTGGAACTCCCTGCCATCGGCAGTGATTTCTGCCAGGAGCGTGGAATTGTTCAAGAAACTCTTGGATGATTTCCTGAGGAACCATAATATACAGGGGTACAAGAACTCCTAAGAGAGAGATGATGAGCGACCTATATGGGTTGGACTTGATGGACTTAGGTTTTTATTCAACCCCAAATACTATGTAACTATAGTGGGTAATCGATGCAGAGACCATGCTGCTGATGTGCAAATAAAAACTACCATCATATACTCTTTGCAGAGGTATTTGTACTAGGTAATCAGATTATTTCATTAAAAACAAATGTGCTCTCTTCATGCCAATCAGAAAACAAGTCTATGAACATTGTTTACAAATAACCGTGGACCTTCTCCCTGCCCCAATGGGACAGCACTGGGTGCCAGAAAGGCCTGAAAGCATCTGTACTGCCATATGGGAGAAAGGGGAGTCACATGTATGGGTTTGGATTAGAATGTGAGAGTGTCTCTTTAAGGCTCTATACATAAATACAGTTGCCCTGTCCTTCAAGTGGCCATCTGACTACCACACACTACAGATTTTAATTCACATCATTTTACAGGAAAGCATTTTTTCGAAGGTATACATAAAAGGTATACATAATACCTTTCGAGGTATACATACATTCTATTTACCTGCCATGGTAAAACTAAACCTAGCCGCTTAAGAATATATCCTAGGAATAAAATATGCCATAAAGCACATCTACGCACCATATAAATATAATAAGCAATGGCACATCATTGCACCCAGCATAATAAAAAAAAAAAAGGAAGGATAGGGATGGACTATATACTAATACAGTTGGGGAAGTCTTTTTATTTCATACAAGTCTGCTACTAAATAATTCTGTACACTGTTCTGGTCACTTACCTCCGTCTGGTTGTACATGTGTTCCTCCAGGATCACTTGGATTACTTGTAGGGGATGCAGGTGCCTCATAGGACACCATCAAATCAATAGTAGACTGTGAAAGAGAATGAGAATTTAATTTAGGATGTCATGCACTAATAGTAGCAACCAAGCTGTAATACTGTACAATCAGTACCATACCAGATCAAAGTGGCAAGACAGTATATAGGTTTCAATAAGTTTTGATGCAGCGTTTGACAACAAAAAAAAAAAAGTGTTTCGACGCATGCCCCCTGACCACCTACACTGATGCCAACACTTAATACCCTCTCACTCAAACCCCCAAAATACACTTAACTACTAAAATAAATTTTAAAATGAGCCTTTGGATAAATCGAAGGTGAAAAAAACTAAAATCAGAAAGATGTAGCCGACACCATAGGACATGACATATCTGATGCTGCAGAGTGAGTGCTGTAAAATGTTAACCACAGGCTTTGGACTCCTAAGTTGCTATTTACAATAGGCATGTTCCCCGGAACCCACATTACAATGCCCAGACCTGCTGGCAGGCCACTCTGGCACCAGGCACTGCATTGTGATATGGGAACAGGAGGATGTTGCCACTATCCAGATGTAGATGGTGGCAACTGTGGGCTGCACTCGCACTGCAGCATGAAGTATGCTGTCCGCTACCTCCCGATGACTTTATTTGACTTTATTTAACTTTTGACTTAAAAAAAAAAAAAAAAATCCAGGATTTTTTTCTTCAAATTAACCTTTGCAGTGGGGCTACCCCTACACTGCAAGCAATAAGTGCTCGTTTTTGATCCAGGGACGAACATGGTAGCCTTTATTTGAAGACAACGGATAGAAGTGAACAATGTCTGATCTCTACTGTAGGTGCAATAGGTTAAAGTGTTCTTTTCTGTACCTATAGGCAAAAAACTTACACCAATGGCTTGTCCTTTCTCACTCATTAGAGCTACTCCTTTAAATGGAAGCGATCGGCTCTGCCCTGCTGCAAAGTCTTTAAGAGATAAAACTGTACTTCCAATGAATCTGTCAATAATAAAAAAAATATAAAATAAATAAAACTGAAGTCATCGCCCCCAAAAAAACATTCTAAAACCAAGCAAACAGAAAAAAGTCTGATATTTTCATATAAGCAGCCTTATTCAATAACGCAGTCCTATGAGCAACAAGTATGTAAAAAGCACAGTCACCCACAGCAGCCATTAGAAAATCACTGCTTAACTAGGCTTAAAGTATTCTAAAATGACTAGCTGCTATGGTAACTATACTTCACACACAGAAAACCGGGCAAATGACAAAGCCTAAACATTTAAAAAAAAAGGGAAAAAACTAAAATTTTTTTGTTTACAAATTTATAAAACTTGATGGGTTACATATTTTTCAGTTATTTGTACATGACCCTTCTTTTGCCAACATTTATTACAGGGTGTATCCAAAAAAAAAAAAAACTTAGCAGGGAAAAAGGATGCCTGGCTTCCTAAACATTAAAGTTACAAACTCAGGAGTTAAAACTTAAAAATGTACTCGCATACCTTAAAAAAGGAGAATTATGGGGAATGTGAAAAACACTCATCCCCATAATTCAAGCTGACTTGTGACAAAAACGCTGTCACAGGTCGGCTCTATTGATCGGGAACTCTGAACACATGCAGCTGATCTCAGATGCCCCAAACCTCTCCATGCAGAGAGTGGTGACCGTCAATCACCGCTCCCAGCATGGATTCCCCCTGCCCCTCTGTTTCTCCAGCGAGAACAGAACACAGTACATTTCCTCCTGTGACCCTGAAGAGAACTATGGGAAAAAAAGGTATCCCATAAAAAGTTAATTAACAAAACTACCTTATTTTTGTCCTCCTGTGACCCTCAAATCTCCGAATTGGTGCTGGCACTGTCCTTCCTTCTTGAGGGTGGCTACTTTTGTACCCCATGGTCCAGGTGTTTTATAAAACAGCCACTGCTCCAAGCTCACTTCTGTGATGCACTACAAGCACAATACAAATTCGTAAACTAAACGTGAGATTGTAGTCCATCATGGGAGTGAGTTTGGAGCAGTGGCTACTTTACAACACACACAGGGACCATGGGGAACAAAAGTAGCCCCCCTCCAGATTGAAGGACAGTGTCAGGACCAATTCGGAGATGATCTGGGGATCTACAGCTGAATGATACACTTTTGTTAATGGTTAAAGAGCTTGTATGAATTTTTAACGTTTAACTCCTGAGTTTAGTCACTTTAAGACCACAACTGCCCGCACTCTTTTTGGCTCCCTCTGTAAACGTAATAAAATATTGCGGTCTCTACTAGAAAAGGTGGCAGGTCTGCTTTTTAGGTTAAGAAAACAGCTGCTAAGAGATCATTTAGAACTTGAGCATAAGGCACCCACTACTGGCTGTAAATGGTGATTATTAAAATCACAATATAATAAAAAAGAAAAATGTCACAATAGAAACTTTGTAGCCAGCTTCAAATGATCACAGATTTTGCATAGATATGTAGCTGCTTAAAACTTAGACTACAGAGTTGCTGCTGCCTACAACACAATGTCCATGCAGTCGCAAACCACTGGTGGGCCATGTCGGTCTTCAGCTGCATTAGATGACATAAGTGGTTACTGAATCCGACTGCAATAATTCATTCACCAGCAATTCATCACAATTACTTGAACTTCAGCAAATGAGACATTCATAATGCCTGCAATTAATCTTTCTAGGACTCAATTAATGAGAAATCAATTTACTATAGTCAGACCAGACCGAGATGGATGCTGCTGATAGGCCATCAGTAATGTACTTTGCATTTTGATTTTTTTTTTCTTTTTTTACTTGCACTGTTACTTTTATTATACAGGATTTACAGTTACATATTACATAGTTGTTAAGGTTAAATAAAAGACACAGGTCGCTAGAGTTCATACTCTTAGCTGATACCACTGTCTGTGGAAGGGAATTCCAAAATCTTATTTTTTATGAGGTCAGTGCTAATTTAAAACAGAGGAATACCCGTGGACATGGTGTATCTGGACTCCAAAAAAACTCTAATTCACAAACAAAGGTCTTTAGGTTTGGAGGAAAATGTTTGCAAATGGGTGGAAAACTGGCTGCAAGAATGGACCCAGAGGGTAGTAATAAATGGGTACATTTTCTAATTGGGCAAAAGTCAGGAGTGGGTACCCAGGGGTCAATCCTGGAACCAATACTGTTTATCCTATTCATTAACAGAGATTGGATGCTGTTTCTAAGGCGTCTGTCCACTAGGACTCCCAAATCTTTTTGTACCTCCGATTCCCCGAGTGGAACATCCATTAGTGAGTAGCTCACATGTGTATTTTTAATTCCAAAATGCATAACCCTACACTTCTCAATATTAAATCTCGTCTGCCATGTACATGCCCACTTCCCAATTTTATTATCCAGATATTCCTCAAGTATTGCTATGTCTTCCATCGAGTTTATTACCGTACAAATTTTAGTATCAGCAAAAACTGAAATATTGCTATATAGTGCAAACAGTTTGCATAGCACCTTACAAAATAAAAGGGAGACGGTACAGTTACAAAATAATTCAAGATAAAAAAGGACCCTGCTTGTTAGAGCTTACACTCCATAATCATTTAATGAAATGAGGCCAAAAAGTGTACATTGATGTGATCATTTGCAACATGACCGTTGTTCTCTCCGATTGCAGCCAGTGCATGCATAGAGGTCCTGGGCGCAGCTGCAGCACAATGCGGTCAACACTGCCTGTAACAATGTGTTCACTTCCCCTCTGCATCTGAGATCGATAAATGCATTTTTTTATTTTTTTTAAGCTGTTCTTCAAAAAGTAAAACTTCTAAATGAGCTTTAAAACCGAATTAAACAATAGTGTCCAAGAAACGGAGAGCCCGGTACAGTAGTCTCATCTTCAACAGTTTTCTGCTCAGATACTGTCCAGGCACTATGGAAAATAAACTCACATGACGAATTGTTCAAGTATGCAGTTACAACTTTCTCCTTCTTCCCTGCAGATCTAAGTGGCAAAAGATCAAGTTGTTTGGATTTGGCTCTGTGGACTGGGAATTGGGTGACGTGTTCTTAATATAACAGCAGTTAAAGAGGAGGTTAATACAGGCATAAACACCAAACCAATGGAAAAGATACAAAGTCACAAAGGGGGGGGGGG